TGTTTAACATTTTATATTTAAATAAGTGTCTCAAAGACTGTGTAATAGCCCATTTTCAAGCTGGGTGTGGTGGTTCATGCATGTCATCCTAGCTACTCAGGAGACAGAGACCTGAAAATAATGGTTCAAAGCAAGCCCATACAGGAAAATCTATTAGACCCTTATCTCTGATCAACCACCAAAAGAACAGAAGTGAATCTGTGGCTCAAGTACTAGGGCACCAAATTTGAGCAAAAAAACTCAAGGATAGCAGTAAAGCCCTGAGTTTAAGCCCCAGGATTGATACAAAATAAATAAGTAAATAAGCCTGTTATCATCATCTAACTTATTCTTTCATCAACATTTGTTGCACCTTCTAGCCTCTCATTGCCTAAGTGAGAAAATGTCCTGTGCCTAACTTCTGGATAAACAGCCTCAACAGGGAGTTGACATGGGGGCAGTTTGACCAGCAGCAGTTCTTAGCAGACTCATATTTCCTGGCAATCAGTGCCCATATATCCTTAGTCATTCTCTAAGCCATTATTTATATCCCACTTGTCTTCATCCCTACGAATTAAAGTGCCCTCCACAGAACTCTCTATTATATCATGTGGTGAGCACCACTCTTTGCTCTGAGCACACAGCTCTGGAATGATATATTTGATCACTTTTCTGGCAAGAAGTGCACAGGCTTCTCCTAAATGAGAGCGACAGAGTAAGTCAAGGGCAAAGAGTCTAAGAAGTCCATGACTTGCTGAATTTCCAGACAGTCTTGTTCTGAAACTACCTCCTCTTGTATTTAATTAACAGTGAAGGGATCCAGGTTTAGATCTGGAAAATTCCTGACCCAAAGAAATGTTGGAGATAACCTTAGTTGAGACAAATACCTTCTAAGACTGGAAGGTTATATTATCATATCAGTCTGTGGTTTCAGGAATGAATGATATTATTACTATTATTATTTATGCTCTCATCTCATCTTCAAATGTCAAGCCAGAGGAACCCACAAGTGGCATATGTCTTCTTCTTACATCCTTGTCCTGGTAGAAGGGATTAATATTAGGAACTTGTGCATGCTACATAATCACTCTACTTCTTGAGCTATGCCCCAAGCCTTTATGGATTTACTTTGTTTTTCAGACAGGCTCTTGTCTCTACTTTTGCCTTGGTTAGCTTCCAACTAGATCTTCCTGCCTCAGTCTCCCAAGTAGCTGAGCTTATAGTCAGGCATCACCATATTTGACAGGATGTCTTAAATAATTTCTATCAACAGATAATTAGGCTTTAACTTTCAAGTCATCTAATTGATGATACCCTCTTGATCATGGCCATTAAGCATAATGAGTTGAGCCCAGTAATCATACAATAGTAGACCTAAACTCTGCACGCTGAAGTCTCTTTTAATCCAACATCTCATCATATTACGAGACTGATGTGATTTAAAAAGGAGACTTTTACCAAAGAATACTTGTATGGAGTGTGGAGAGAGAGAGACAGAGAGAGACAGAGAGAGAGAGAGAGAGAGAGAGAGAGAGAGAGAGAGAGAGTTACTCCATGGAATAATATACTTACTCATTAGGATAATATTCTAGCCAATTATTTTCTTGACTTGATATTCCCCTAAACATGGGTGGAGTTAGAGAGAATGATAACATCACAATCTACTTTAAATTTGAGTCTATTGTTACCAATAATTTATACAAAAATGTTTGTCTTTTCATCCTTTAAGCCCGAATGATACATCCCATTAGCTGAGGACCCTGCCACCTTCTGTGAATATACTTACTATTATTTTTCCATGTTATGGAGTTTCTAGAACAATTTTCCTACATTGATTTTTATGAATATTTGTACCCTACTTTCATGCGTATTTGTATCCTGAGGAAATATAACAAGCCCACCTTGTTCATGGATTAATTACACACAGTTTGCTTAAGCCTGGCAAATAACTAAGAAAGTAAACAAATTCAAGAGTGATTCCAAAAATAAGAAAATTTACATTCTTCCCTGAATGAAAAGATTGAAAGCCTGCAAAGGATTCAATGTGAGGGTGATAAGGAGTGAGATGAGGCTAACCAAAGATTAATCCAGGAACTTCACGAGCATGATGAAGCTAACAAAAAATTAATAGAGGAACCTCGAGAGCCTGTGGGGAATTACAAAGGTCAGCTGATGCACAGATTTCAGTCAGCCCTGTTTTACTGTCAGCTGTGTCTAAATCCTCCTTTGATCTGTTGAGTGTTTTCCTGCCTTCAATACAGGAAAACCTGCCCTCAAAAGCAAATGGTGTCCCTGAAGCAAGGTAAAAGTCAATGTGCTTAATCTATGTGATAAAGTGATAAATTTGAAAGTTGAAATCTATGTGATAAAGTGATAAATTTGAAAAATTGTTGAAAGGCAGCATGTCTTTAGCAGGAAGCTGAACAACAGTACAGGACATATGAATGAAGCATCTGCAATATTCATGATAAAGAGCATGATATAAGGTCTAGTGTTTGGTGAGCAGTAATTATGAGTGGTTTTGACATGACAGTAATGTAGCCTACTCCACGTAGTCTTAAGATATGGATACTCAGACATACTGTGCATGTACATATGATCTAGGTAACATTGTATTTTTTTTGGGGGGGGTCCGGTCATGGGGCCTGATCTGGGCCTGGGCACTGTCCCTCAGCTCTTCAGCTCAAGGCTAGCGCTCTACCACTTGAGCCACAGCGTCACTTCTGGCTTTTATTCTTTTTGCTTATGTGGTGCTGAGGAATCGAACCCAGGGCTTCATGCATCCAAGGCAAGCGCTCTACCACTGGGCCACCTTCCCAGCCCCATTGTGAGTATTTTTGTAGTATTGAATTCTATGCACCACAAACATTCATGGGCTTTCCTCAGTGGAGCTCTGCTTAGAATCCAAAACTATGGATACAAACAGCCTACCTTATTAACAAGCCCTCCATGATACATTTCCTGTCTTCTACTGAGTTTGGGAGACACTGCATGCCCAGTCAGGATGGCTAGTATATTAGGATGTTGGGAACAGCCTCTAAGTAAACATGAAGTTTAACCTCATGTTTATTAAACTTCCTTTTACCAAACAATACTTGTATGGTGTGTGTGTGTGTGTGTGTGTGTGTGTGTGTGTGTGTGTGTGTGTGTGTGTGTGTGTGTGACCTAATACCATCTTGGAATATGATATGACTGTCTGGAATTGTGTTTGAAAACAAATAGTCTTTGCTTGCTCATTCTATTTTCTCACCCTCATAACTACATTATATTTGCTATCTCAGATTATGCTGACACTCTTCAAACAGTAAAATCCAATTATTGGTATTTCTTTCCTCCAATTATTATTGGTTTTGATGTTTGTGAGCTAGCCAGCACAATTAGCAACATATGCATTCTTCAAACTCCTTTCTTGGAATTCAAATTGCTGTCAGCAACTATCTTAGTTTTCTAATGCACACAACATCCACTGTCCAGATTACTTAAAACTTGGCATTCAGATTCATACTATCCAGACATCATTTTCCATCTATCTCTTTTTCTAATCACATTTACTGTTAATTTTTGTGGTAGCACTGGGGCTTGAACTTAGGGCCTCACACTCTCACTTGACTGCCCCTCCCTCTTTTCAAATCGAGGACAGTACTCTGCCATCCTTCTAGTTCTAGCTTTTTGCTGGTTAATTAGAGATCAGAATCTCATGGATCTTTCTACTTTGGCAGTATTCGAACCATCATCCTCACGTCTCTGCTTTCTGAATGGCTAGGATTATATGAGCTTAAGCCATTGACACCCAGCTGCACCAACAAAGGTTTGTCATCTATTTAGAATAATCAGCAATCTCCCATAAAAGTATTTGGTTAATTTCCCTGACATTTCCATGCATTGTTGTTAACTTTTTTTTTGTTTTTACTTTGCTTAATCTTACTCATCCTGAAAACTATTTTTCTTTTCCTGACCTAGCCTTTTCTAATTTTTTTTCCTGCCAGTCCTGGGCTTAAACTCAGGGATTGGGTGCTGTCCTTGGGCTTTTTTTTTATTTTTGCCAGTCCTGGAGCTTGAAACTCGGGGCCTGGGCACTGTCTCTGAGCCTCTCTGTGCTCAAGGATAGTGCTCTATCACAAGTCACTTCCAGCTTTTTCTGTTTATGTGGGTCTGAGGAATCAAATCCAGGGCTTCACGCATGGTAGGCAAGCACTCTACCACTAAGCCACTTTCCCAGTCCCCCAGGGTTTTTTTCATTCAAGGCTAGTACTCTACTACTTGAGATACAGCTCCACTTGCAGCTTTTTAGTGGTTAATTGGGGATGAGTCTCCTGCCTCAGCTGGCTTTGAATGTGATCCTCATACATCACCCTCCTGAGTAGCTATGATTACAGAGCCACCAGTGCTTAGCTTCTTTTTTAATTTTTTAATATCACTGTTTTCTACCTCCAGACTGTAAATCCTATTAGGACAATTTTGATTTATGTATTTCTAAACATTAAATACACAGCTTAGCTTAATAGCTGGTAAATAATATGTAGGTCTCCAATTTGATATAAGTAGATGTGTTCTTTGAATGTTATATGCTACTCATTGTATCTTGCTTTTTCAAATTAGTGTGTATTGTCTCATGTGTATTGCTTTGTTGCTTTCCAAATCATCATAAAATTAAGCTGTTTAACCTCTCATTTTAGGAATGTTGGAATGATGTGTATCTGTAATACCCTCTTCAATTCAAAAGTGGCTCGTAATAAGAATGGAACACTATTTAAGAGATAGACTAGTTAATTCAGAGAACAATGAAAGTTTCTTGTCAACTATGGAGCTTTCTCAAATGGGTATCAACTTTTGGCTTCTTTGTTGGGGTTCTTCCTAGCATTTACCACCTCATAGCTATAGATTTGTTTCTTGCATTTATTAGATTTCTTCACTTGAGCTTAGGTCTATTCTCTAAAGGGTAAAAATATGAGTTTCATGGTTTTTGTCTTCTGAACAGGTTAGAATAGGAAATAAATCTAAATGGAATAAAGCTGGGCTGGTCATACTATAATCCACTTTATTATTATTGACATTTATTATAAAATGTTACTATACTGCTTTTATACTGACATAAACAAGTGACATAAAATACATAATGCATTTTGCTAACTTGAACAATACACAAAGTCTGAAATGACTGAAACTATGTTACATGAATATTTTACAAAGGACAAAAACACCATAATACATTCTGATGAAACTTATCATTAATTTTTGGATATTATCCAATGTTAAGTATGGATATATTCAAAACAATTACTATTTATAGAACCATTGATATTTTACTATTTAAAATGAGTACTGTGTAAATGAGAACTTATAAAAATATTTTAGGCAAAAAGCTATGTTTTACTCATTTATGTGGCAGTTACAAAAATATATATTTATCTGAAACACTAATAAATTTGCTTGAGGCATTAGATACTCCAACTCAAATATATGTTTTCTGAAGCATTTCACCAACTTAGTGTTCTTGGCTACATACAGTATATCATATAAATATGACATTATGATAGGTTTGTGTTATAAATAATTTCATTTTAAGGGTACACAACTGATCAGTAACACAGAGGCAATGTGGTTTTTTTTAAGAACCAAAAATGTCTAATACACATACTAGATTCATTGGTATGATGTTTATTCTTGTCATTAAAATAAAGTATCCTCTAGTTTTTATTCCTAGTACAAATATAACTTAAACTTGAACATATTTGTTGTTAAGCAGCTATTTCTCAATGGCAAGGCTGGTCAATTGGTTTCAGATTACATACAACAGTGCTATGATTCAGACTTTCACTATTTCCCACAATTCCATGTGTTAAAAGCTTGGTCCCAGGGTGATACTATTGAGATGTGGTGAAAACTTTGGGAGGTGGGGACTAGTGGGAGGTTATTATGTCAGTGGGGGCCTGCCCTTGAAGGAACTTGTGGAAAATATGTCCCTTCTGCACTTTCAGCTGATGAGGTGAGTGATCTTGCTCTGCTATATATTTCTGACTTGACTTGCTGCCTCATCACATCGCAGACCCAGTTCATCATGGAATGGAAACTCCTTAATTCAAAACCAAAGTAACCTTTTTATCTTTATAAGGTGATTAGCTCAGTTATTTTATTATAGTAATGGAAAGCTAATTCAAAGAGTAAAGTAGAAGCAGATACTTGGCCAGATACATTTGCTACATAGACAGCTCTGATGTATACAGTACAGATGTTCAGTACATTGATCAACTCCATTTCTTATATCATCATTCAAAACAAGACACAAGAATCTACTTTTGTAGCATGTCAAAATAAAATGCAGTAAATACATATAGTATATAGAGGCATATGCATACAAATAGATAATTCTCATTTAGTAGGCTTAGTAGACAACAGAAATCTATTTCCAGTGAAGGAAGCAAACTCTCCTGAGTAAAGTAGGCCATGTGTTTAGATCACAGCTGCTAGACGGTTTATAGAGAATATTTAAGTCTCCTATGCACTCCAATAGGTACTTGGCAGTGTGAATGCTAGGCTCACAGTTCATGGCAAATCATTGAGGTGGTGAATTTGCCATTTGTCGCAAAAGAGTAAGCCAAGTGACTGACAGAAATGTGATATGGTCAAAGATGGTGGCCAGCATCATAAGATGAAAATGCTGTGGCCATCTTTCTGCAGGTTTTCCCACCTGTTCTGTCAAGACTCATCACAAATGCTCAAAACACTTAACAGGATGGAAAATATTTTTTAATTAAAAGAGTACCCTAAGTGATTTCAATATGCTTTTCCTTAGTTCTCATACAGCACATTTGGCAATTCATTCAAGAAATTGTTCATGCATTTATGTTAATTATTAGTTATGGAGGAGTTATTAAAGAATAATTTAGAAAATAGTTTACATACAAATAAATCTTTAAAAGATAACACAGAATTCAGAAGCAATTCAGTTAAATAATAATAGTTACTTTCATTACCACTACAGTAGAAAGACAGAAAATGACCTTTAAAGTAAAATATAAAATACTAATGATTTAAAAAAAGACTATTTTAACTTTCAAAATCATAATTTTATTTTTAAAAAGTGAATAAAAATGCTACTAACCTGCATTAAATCATGTGCTATAGAAAAGAACCACCCAAACTAATGAAAGAATATTTTAATGTTTTAAGTAGGAACGCATTCATTGTAAATACAAGGAGTAATTTACTCCTAATTAAATGCTTTCAAATCAATAAATACTAATCTTGCCTATGAAAGGTATATGCTCATAAGACTGAATATAAATTGTTTAAATTAGTTAATATATCCTTTAAGACTTTGCTTACCCATTGATTTTCTTGGCAGTTACAGTTAGGGTCAATTTCATTTTATCCTGAATTTAATTATTACAAAATTGAAATTAATGCAGTCAGAACCAATGTCGTCTCTATGTCATCTATATTATGATACTCTAGGACATTAGCTTCATTTTAAATTGGGTTTTGTTACTGCAGGAAACAGCCAATGAATACAGAGAGAATCCAGACCCCTGCCAGTGTACACCTTAAAGAGATAGGAAACAGCCTGGCTCTTCATTAGGGGATGCCAACTTATAAAACAAAGTGTGAACTTTAAATTCAGTGTTACATATCCACTAGAAGTAAAATTATAACAGACATTCTTTTCATCTAAATCATTGTGGGAATAGATATAAGCTGCTAGTTTAATCACATTTCTTGTACTTATATTAAATTGCATAATTTAACATTAGAAGTTATATAATTTGATATTAGAAAAAGACACAAAAGACAATGGAATATTTCCATGTATGGACTTTGTAAGTGATTATTATTTTTGAGCCAGGTCCTCGGTAAGATATAAAACTTCAATGCATAGTAATCTATTTCAGAAAGGGTCAGAAATCCAAATGTAGGAGTTAGAAAGATAGATAGCAGGCTTCAGCATCATTTGAAGGAGCTCTTGTTAGGGAGGACTGTGAAGCTTGTAGGTAAATAGATTCTATAACCGCCAGACAGTTAAATGTCCAATACTATATGGAGGTACTTTATGGTAAAGAAAAGCAGTCATTAGTCACTCCTCCACTACATATTTTTTCTGTTACCTCTCCTTCAACATTATAGTCAAGTTTCATATGATTACTATTCCACACTTGTAATAAATGTCTAAAACTATTACTTTCAATTAGGGGGTTACACTATACAAAATTCATATTGCAAATGTGCATCCAGAATGATAAAATATCTGGGAAACTGCACATTTTCATATATTAAGGGCATTAATATGCATTCATATTTGCATTCACTTTGTGCAATAGAAGATACAGAATTAAATGGCAATGCATACTATATAACTCTAGCTAGAGCAATACATAATTTGTAGTATTATTACACCAATAAGGGAAAACAGCATAGCATAGTAAGAGACTTTCTTGTTAGTAATATGAACTTGTGCACTTCAGTTTCCCAACTCTTAAACAGGGCAATAAAAAAACATCCCCCAGCCCTATTGTGAGGATTCTGTGAAACAGTAACAAGTAAATATGGGCTAAGACAAGTAAATATGGGCTAAGAAGAATAATTATTTGGTACAGAGTAAACATCAGTGTAGGCTGTAATTTTAGTACAAGAAAAATTACATAGACTGTTGTTGGTATAAACTACTCAAGCATTTAATAAGTGCTATGCACACTGGTAGACAGTATGCCTATTTTTAATATATATTTTATTGTAAAGATACTGTACAGAGGGGTTACAGTTACATGAGCAAGATAATGCCTATTTTTAACCCTAAAAACAATATTGAGTGTATTCCACTGAATACAGAGTAGATCCTTAAAGTTCATGAGCTTATCAATACGATAACAGATAATGGATCCCATGAGACATGGAAAAGTACAACTGAATCATTTAGATGGCCTCTTCATGACTCTGATGAGGATTATTCCTAGGGTGGTTACCAAATGCTATGATGACAGGAAGAAAGTTCTAGTAAGCTAGTCAGCTCTGTTCATTCATTCACCATGAATTCAAAGTGATCACATGTTCAGTGTAGGAAAGCCACAGATTCACATGAACCTTCAAAACTGTATAGGAACCTTCACGTGCCAACAATATCTAGTTGTTAAATCCCTGAAAGTTAAGGATAGACTTAATATACATAGGCACCTAAAGGTCCGATCTTCATTTAATTCAGGGTGTTCAGCTTTTTCGTTGGAACCTGATGTCAGTTTGCTGGTCATGAGCTATATGGACTTCCTGCAAAAATTTGTGTCAAGTAAGGATTGCTGCTAGTCAACAGATAGCCATCTGGATATGGAGACATGTTGATTTCCCAAATATTCATAACAGTATTTTTGTTACTCCATGTACAGTGTCTAGTGAAGAAGATTCTTAATAACAGCTTGAGGGCCATTATTAGATTTTATTAAGACAAAATGTAATGGTAGTTTTCTTGAACTTTAGTTGTGAAAGCATTTCACATACTTAATTGAAATCTATATTCAGGCATGTGCTATATATTGGTGTTCTGGTCAACAATGATCAACATACACGAACATGGTGTTTGAAGATTCTATCACCTACTGAGGTCACCACCTCAGCTTGTGTATGCTCCCTATGATGCTTGCATAGGGATAAAGTAAGCCACCTGCTGGCACTATTCTCAGCACTTGTCCCAAATGTTAACCAATGCATGACTCATTATATTCACTGTAAGAATGTTTAATTATTTTGAAAGCCATATATTTAAGACCAATAATAATTCACTCGTAATGCTCAACACATGACGTAGCCTCCAGAATGAAGACAGATTATACTTAAGGAAGAAAGGATAGTTCTATGTTCAAGGCTGGGTTTGTACATTAGGCTTGTGTTTCTCTTCCTTGGTCCTCACTACTCCTTATTCGTGGCCACTGATAACACAGGATCTAGTACTTGAAATATACCCAAAAGCATTGGAAGATGTCATTCTGAGAACTCAAAAGCTCTTCCCAACTGAGAATCCTATGGGAGAAAGCAACACACGCTTCTCCACCTTTGACAGATACCTTCTCTGACACAGACGAGGAACAAAGCACCCGTGCCACCAAGGCTATATTGGCGCTAACCTGTTTTCAGGGCTCACAGCACGCAGCTATGTTTCCTCCATGACAGACTTCTTCAGGAAAAATCTATCACCATTACCTCTGTCCATGAGGGGCAGTGGAAAGCAAACACTATAAAACTAATGAATGAGAAAGCAGGTACAATTGCTACTATTTTTTTTACCTCTAATATTTCCCCCATGAATTCCACCAGTGAATTTTGACCTGAAAGAAAGAATTTCATTGATAAGACTGACTGTCTGCATGAACTCTTATCTATTTTCAGTGTAAGTATCCAAGTACAATCTGAATGTTAATTTTTCCACCACGGGGAGGGAACTGAACGAAGGCATCTCTTTATTTTCAGTGGAGAATGTTGAGACATGTGCATTGTGGAGCTTCTGACTGTTGTCTCCTTGTGAAGGGTCTTCATTCATCCCCCACAGGAGGAGGTGGCTCACACAGCTTGTACAACCTAGAAAAGACACAGCAAAGTCTGACAGTCAGTCACCCAGTGTGTCACTCAGGTTTGATTATATGATCTAACAAACACCTGTGTTTCTCAGCATGCCTAGAAAGCTACTAAGCAAGACTGCATTGTTAAAATCTGCTGTTCTGGTCCAGCAATGTCCACGCATGTGTTTACTTTGCTAGCAGTAAAATTTATTCTCTGAATCCCAAGAGAAGATGCTATCATGAAAATTACCATCATACTGATTGTGATCAGCTTATAGTGAAATAGCATTTATCTCAGAGGAGGCTACTGGATTTCTCATGCATTTTAGAAGTGGAGTTTAGTCTGTACCATCACCGTCATGCAGGAAGTAGGATATGAATGGGAGGAAGTGACAGATTTCCTGAGGCCTGGTGTCAACGAGCACTGATGATTCTTGGCCTGGCTCTGTCAAACACTTATCTGTCAACAGAACCTCTTGGTGGGTCAGAATCCACTTTAGTTGTGGAGATGTCCAGAGATGCTCCCTTTGAAGCCCTGGTCTAGTTGTGTGAGGACATACAGCATTAATACAAGCTCAAGGGAATCCACTAGGGTTACACAAGTTCCAGTGCTCTAGTCTCCTGAATGGTTCAGTCCTAACTCCAGAAGCAAAGTAAAAGGGAACATGTTAGCTGTCACATAACCCTAGGGACCTCAGGCCAAATGTATTACTTGTAGTGGATCTAGACTGTATTTACTCTCCTTAATCATGAACTTTCACTGAAGACCATATGCTAATATCTCATGCAGAATTCAACCCTATACATTTTTTTTTTGCAGGGGTGAGGGGAGGTAGGGACTTTCTAATGATTGAATCAGGGCTTCATACTTGCTATGTGCGTTGTCTACCACTGAGCTAATAATGTCCACTTCCAGTCCCAGCTGTTCAGCTTTAAAGAAGAAGAAGATAAAGGCCTGAGCAGTTCAAACACAGAGCCGAGATTGAGTGATTGACTCTCTTTTTACAGATTAAATTGAACACAGCTTGACTGAGTTGTTAATCAATTTAGCAATTACAGATTTTGCTCTCCCTTTGACATTTAATCCCTGGCTAATTCTGAATCAATGGAGAAGAATGAGAAAGATTTAACACTGAGTTGTAAATCTCATTAATAAAATGAAGTTTCTTAGTTTAGAAACGCAGAAGTAATTATCTTTGGAGAGTTATGAAATGTACTTTTGAATTGGGAAGATAGTGGCTTATGCCTGATATGTTATCTCCACAGAAGAGGAGATTACTGAAGACATACCACATCCAAAAAACTGATTCCATTGTCTTCCCAGCACTGAAATAATAAAACGATGAGAACATTCTTTCCCCCCTTAATTTCTATCCTCTTATTCCCCTGACAGTGTTTCATCATGAGTGCTAAAGCACAAGGCTTGAGTAAGGGAGAGCAGGGAAGGAAGATGGGTGGCACACGTCCCACTTTGGGGTGAACCATCACTTTCCATTTTCTTGCTCTGCACATTTGCACAAAAAGGAACCAATGTCACAGGGTAGACGAGTCTTTGAAATGTCTGCCTTGCAAATTGGAGCAAAGGCTACTCCCTGTGATCACCTAATGAAATAATACCTCTGGGTACTGGGGAGCTGGGCAGATTGAACTTCTGAGGCATCTTGGAAGTAACTCAGGGTTATTTGAGTTCAGACACATTTGTAATGGAAATTGTGGAGCTTTGGGAATTTGGAGCAGGCAGAAGAAGTTTGAGAGTGAAATGTAATAGGTAGAGAGTTGGACTCTTAACACTGCAGTGAGGCCTTTTGTGTTTTGGCAGCTAAACCATTGGGCAGTGGGAGGCCTTTGTGGGCCCAACATTTGTAGTCCTGGCTGTATTCTCCTTCCACACCAGTGGTCCTGCATGAACAGGAGTTGCTCCATTCTCTGCTGTTCTAATCTGGGCTCTGGCAGCCATGATGGGGTTGGTATTTCAGCCCAAATTCAAATCTTCAGAGAGCAGAACTGTCATACATCATTCTACAGATCATGCCTTTCCTTTTTGCACTGCCCAAAGACAGGTTGTTTTAAAGGAGACCCAGAAAGCAAATGCCTCTTTCAAGGTTACACTATCAGTTATGCCCCATCTCAAGGCCATTCTCCAGAAGTAACAGATAAGAAGACTTCATCTCAGAAGAAAAAAATATCTAACACAATAAGGTCAGGAAGAGAGCAGGAGCCAAGACTCAGAATGATTCTTTTCACTTTGGACCACAAGGAAAATCAAGCTTTGCAAGTTCAGATTTTGTGACATAATAGAGAAATGCATTACAACTGATAATCTTCCATTTGGGATGGAACATTTGGTCGTCTATATCTCCAGCCTTACTACTTTGCATGATTCTCAATCACATTCAGATAGCAATTACAGAGACACAGGTGTAGTTCTCTAGACCATGATGGTACTCTGGGGCCTGGTGTCATTTTATCAACTCTGTTGGGATGCCACTCCAAGCTGGCTGTGCCATGAGCATTCTGTGTGCTTCTGTCTCCATCCTTAGGTTGTGTGATGACCTATTTCTATGTTTATATGACAATTTATGCTCATTTCTATTGTAGTTTATGTCAGATACTCTTCATCTGCAAATAACTGGTGTTATTTGATTGTTGCTATACAACAATACAAACATTTCAGTAGGTTTAGCCTGAGTGACCTGACATTGAGCATCAATTATGTTCTCTAACTTGCTGTGTTTAGGGCAGGAGAGACCCCAGTCAGCAGGGATCCAAGGCTCCTCTGTGCTCCTAGTTATTTTACCTGCTCTTCCATAGACTGCCATGCATACCTTTCCTTACAGTAGAGTTTACTTCATTTATTTCTAATGGAAAGCTCCTGGAGGGCCAGATCCATTCTGTCTCAGGTTTATATTCTCCAGGGGGGCAAAGAATAGATTGCCTTTTTAAAATACGTTTTTTATTGTGAAAATACTGCACAGAGGGGTTACAGTTACATGAGCAAGGTAATGAGTACATTTCTTATCAAGCATTGTTGCCTCCTCCTTTGTTTTTCCCCTACCATTCCTTCCATCCCACCTCCTCAACTACTGCCCTCCCCCCCGCCTAAATTATAAAGTTCATTTTTCAACAGTGTCTTGTATATATCATTGTTACAATGGCTCAACCTGTATCCCTATTTAAACATTTTGTTTCCTCCTTTCCCCTCCCACAACAAATCAAAGGAAGGTTGGACAAATAGGACTCCATGAAGCTACAGAGCTTCTGCATAGCAAAGGACATAACTAGCAAGATCAATAGAAAGCCCATGGATTGGGAGAAAAACCTTCACTAGCCATACAATGGATAAGGGTCTCATGTCTAAAATATACTTAGAACTCAAAAACCTAAGTCCCCCAACAACAAATCCTCATAGAAACAAATGCCCAATAAATAAGTGGGCCAAAGATTAACTTCTCCAAAGAGGAAATAAGAATGGTCAATAGACACATGAAGAAATGCTCAACCTCTCTAGCAATAAAAGAAATGCAAATCAAAACAACATTGAGATTCCACCTCACCCCAGTTAGAATGGCTATAATCAAGAATTCTTAATAACAACAGATGCTGGAGGGGATGTAGCTACAAGGGAACCTTACTGCATTGTTGGTGAGAGTGTAAACTTGTTCAACCACTTTGGAAAGCAGTATGGAGGTTCCTCAAAAGACTCCACATAGAGCTCCTCTATAACCCAGCAATCCCACTTTGGGGCATTTATCCAGACGATCACAAACAAGACCATACTAAAGTTACCAGTACAACTATGTTTACTGTAGCATTATTTACCATAGCTAAGATATGGAACCAACCCAGATGCCCCTCAGTAGATGAATGGATCAAGAAAATGTGATATATACACACAAAAAATGGAATTCTATGCCTCCATCAGAAAGAATAGCATTGCCCCATTTGCTAGGAAATGGAAAGACTTGGAAAAATTATATTAAGTGAAGTAAGCCAGGCTAAAAGAAAGATAGGTCCCATGGTTTCCCTTATTTGCAATAACTAGTATATGTCTGGGACAAGTAGAAAAGTTCAAAAGCTATGTACATATGACCATGTAAGATGAAGTTAAGCGAAATGAACCCCAAGATAGGGACACAAGTGTTTTTTCTTTTTCTTTCTTGCTATTGTTTCTAACGTATTTATAAGGTAGCATGTGATTTTTTTTTGTTGCTTGGTATGTTCCTCCCCCATGATGTAACCCCTGTTTTCACTGTATTTGATGGACTTCCTTTCTTAGGTCCCTAATAGACCTTTTCAGAATGACTGAAAGAGTAAATAAAATGCAGATTTGAAATTACTCTTGATTTCTCTCTCAGGGTTATTATTCCCTTGTAAAAAGTGTCAATTTTATAGCTGGCTCATTTTATTGTGTCACATCTCAAGTGTCGTATATAACCCAGTAAAAAAAAGAACTGGGCTCATCAGTTTCTTTCCTGGGGTTCAGCTTGCATATTGGTTTATTGATCAGGATACTGAAAACTCATTCTAACCTCACTTGTTTATTAGTGTGAATAAGCTCTAGCTTAAAACACCTTGCAGCATCATTATCTTGTTTTCTTATTGGAATTTTTAACACCTCACTGTGTCTATTATATAAATATACCACATCTATCTGTTCAAGGCGCTGGGGAGACAATGCTTATGTGAAATGATTCTTCAGTAATATGTCTTAGATTCTAATCTAATCAGCTATGAAAGACCACATTAACAAGACCAGAAAACTAAATAGAGTTGGGAGTCAGAATTAATGATGAATGTAGACAGGTCATGAGTGCTCCATCCATTTTCAGGGAGAGGAAACAGGTTTTCCTTTTGAAAAGCACATTCACTGCCCATATAGGTTTTCAGAATGAAGTATAACTTCATAACATTGGTGTCATCACTCTCATCCTGATAATGGTGTTGTAAATAGAAACAAATATAGTGTTTCTATGGCAGTGCTTGGAGGAACCTACTTTTTGTTAAAATGCAAATGGATAAAAGCAATCCAATGCCAGAGAAATTACTGAGCTTTGGTCCTACTTCAAAATAAATGTCTGCCTACTCCCAATCACCGGGGAAATCAAACACAAGACATTTCTCTGGAGCTTCTAAGTCTGTTTAATTATTTTAAAGGTGGGTTGGAGTCCCTTCATAGGACAATATGCAAACTGTGATTGTTTGACATAACAAATAAAAACCCATGAACTAATTTATTCATATGTTATTGGAATTATTTTGGATATTTGATTTTTTACTATAAGACACTAGGATGAGGAAAAATAAAATTCCCAAAGCATTTCTTATTCTTAGAAGTTATACTCAGGTTGGGTAATGAAACACATACCAATATCCCGTTACACAATGTGAATGTATTCATAAAACAATATAGGAGATGCCAAAGGAGCCCAAAAAGAAAGGAACTCAGGAAAGGATCCAAGTAGAAAATGGTATCTAAGCTGGGTTTTGTAAGATAAGAAGGAGTTTTCCATTGACATGCAAATGAGAAAAGCAATCAATGAAGAGAAGGGCTCCTGCAGTCACAGGAGGAAAAAGAAACATGGCATCCTGGTGAGTGGCACAGGTCGATTTAAAGTTTTAGTTCTATTTGTTTAGACTTCTTTTTTGAATGCATGGAGTAATGTCCATTTAGTTCTGAGACACTTAAGCTTAATTTTATTAGCCACTGGGCAGTTACAAAGGCAATCCCCACAATCATAGGCACTGGGCATTTGTCATCAGTGTTGCTATGGGGTACACTTACCTGGGTGCTGACTGAGGGGTCCGGTCTCTGACTCCCAAATTCTTTGCTGTGTTCTGAACTCTTGCTCCCTGGAAGTCAGGAAAATCACTTTTAACCTTTCATAATAGTCATGTAGCATACTATTATCGTCTTAGAAAAGTTATTCCAGTAATTTAGTAAGTAAGAGAGAAAGAGGCAGAGACAGAGAGTGAAAAGTAGGAGAAATAACCACTTGAATAGTTTCCAATAAACACTTTTAAGAATCAAAAAGGTTCTTGTGTTTCAGATGAGTACTATGTGTTTCTCTAACTCCCTAAATATTCCAGAGTTTAACCGTCAGCTCTTCCGTCTCTCCTCCATATTCGAATTCTTAGAAACATTCACTTACGGTACAGGAGACAAGTAGGCTGTAAACACCTGTTCTACACTGCTACTTTTGTGGAACAGAACTTACAAGTCCATCATTCTTCCACCTGCTTCCCCAGACATGAATCGTTGCCGATTTTGGAATTAGCACTATTTAACTAAGTATTTAGGAAAATATTTTAAGTGGTTCTAAAGCAATTTCAGGAGAACTAATCTGATACAATGAAGAAAATCATATAGGTTCCTGAAGGGGTTACAACATTATTTGTTGATTGTTCATTGAATCCATGGCAAACACTGTGCCATGTTAGAATGTCAATTTTGGCAGATAGCTTCTTCTTTGCCTGACACATATTCTAGTGCTGGTCAGAACTTGAAATGAATAATAAAAAGCCATGAAAGCAAGAAAACCTTGGCCACTTTTGTAATGCAAAGAACTAGTTTCAGGTGAGCAAAAGTGAGATGGTGGGGCACTCTAGAAAGAGTGTCTCTAAAAGACTGTCTTTGAAGAGAGCAGGAGAAGATGAGACCTGACAACCACAAGAAGGTCAGAAAGCACAGTCCTGGCTAGAAGACATGGCCCTGGCAAGAAGGAGCTGTGCTCGGTGGAAATGGAAAGGCGACCAGTGCAGTGAGAGCATAATTGTGAAGAGGAATGGAAGGGTATTATGCTGTGTCCTGTTGCTGTCCCTCTTTCTAATGTGGACACGTGAGATTTAGGTGATTGCTTTCACCTATTTCACACTCTCCATTAAAGGCTTTCCAAAACAATCTCTAACACTATGCATTTGTACATCTTCCCTACACAGCAATTTGGCAAGAATACAAATGAGATAGGATGCCCAATCTTACTAATGAATGGGCTCTTTCTTTCTTTCATGCATTTGACCCATTTGAACTATTTGAGGAAGATCTCGTGGAACAATGGGGACAAATGCTCTGTTCTTTACCTTTTTTTTTCTCCAACAGTATGGAGAGAGGGCTGATGTTCTGAAAGGTTATGGGTTCTATTCAACGAGTGGAGCTGGGTCTTGAAGATACAGACAAAGACCCAATAACTCCATGGACTAGTATTATTTATACAGAAATATCATGCTACCTTGGAACCTACAGACATCCTGAAGTCAGTGCAAACTGTGTGTGTGAGTGTATATACACATATACCTATATACATATATATATATATATTAATTTTAATTTTTTGTTGGCTGTGGGGCTTGAATTCAGAGCCTGAGTGCTATCTCTGAAACTCTTTGTGCTAAAGGTTAGCACTCTACCACAATTTTTTTTTAAAAAAAGCACTTTCTGGATAAGCATATCCACATGGACCTCCAAAGACTTACATCTCAAAGTTTATAGTAAAAGGCTGTATTAATTTAAAAGATCTAGTGGACTTCATCAATACCATTTCATCTGTATATATTAATTTGCTTTGATCACATTTAATGCCTCAACTCCTCTCCCCTCCTCTTCCCAACTATTTCTCAGCCTAGTCCTATATCTTTATTTACTATCTAGACGTGATAGTTTTCACTGTAGAGGCTTTCGTTTCCCCTTGTTAGATGTAATGCTAGGTATTTGAATTTTCTGAAGCTATTTTGGAAGGGACTATCTTTTTGTTCTCTCACCATGCTTGTTTTTGATAGACAGAGCAGCAACACTTATGACAGCATATCCTTTACTCACAGGAATAATTTGACCTCTTCCTTTCTCATTTTTTTTTCTCTTGCCTTATTGCTCTGGCTAACAATGCACACAGACTTTTTAAATAGGTGTTCATAATTGGTTTTATGTCCTTTATGCCATGTCCTTACTATGGTTTATGGCTTGCTTTCTGGCATGTCAAGAATTCCCAGGATTATCATTCTTATTTCAGTTGATAATTCACCACATCTCTAAGGGCCTAGAATTTGTTGTTGGAGAATTCTATTTAGGAGCCAAATTTTGTATTCTGGACATAATTATTACTACTGGCAAGGAAACTGGCTTTGCATAGTAGACAGAGCTAGTCTACTGGTACAAACATGTTCACACATCTATATTCATTTCTACATCTATCCCTGTGTGTGTGTGTGTGTGTGTGTGTGTGTGTGTGTATCAGTTCTGCTGATATTGTCAAAGTGCCACATAGCTCCTTAGAGATTCCAGTCTCTCCTTTATCTTATTTGCAATTCCTTTGTCTGTTGGTGACAATCAAGATTCTCATAATTGTCATATGTTTACTTGGTGGTTCAAAACAAATTGATTTTAGAATTTCTTATCTATACCCATGAGAAAAATAGATACATTAGAGTATACTGTTCATCTATAATTTTGTCTTTACTTTCATAATATTATACTAAGTATTTATGTTTTTGTTTTCTTTATTTTATTTTCTCTTGTGACAGCCCTGGGGTTTGGTCTGGGTACTGTTTCTGAGCTTATTTTGACCAAGGCTAGTACTCACTTGAACCACAGTTCCATTTCTGGCCTTTGTTGGAGAGGAGGAGTAGTTCTTAGAACTAAGAGTCTCACAGTCTTTCCTGCTTGAGCCTTTTCCTGCCAGGATCCTCAGTTCTCAGCCTCCTGAGTATCTAGGATTATAAGCATGAGCCACTGGTGCATGGCTGCTTTCTAAACCTATTGCTTTCATGGATGACTTTTAAGTTCATTATACAAATAATTATTAATTAATCTGATGAGTATGTCAAAGGATATCTATGATTTTCAGAAAGCATTATAACCTTCTTTTCTATCTTTTCTTCAAACTCAAGTGGGGAAGTCTAAAATAACACCTTAATGAAAGATTTTTGTTAAAACAATATTGAAGTTGTAAATAAGAACAATGAATCATGATAAAAGCTCCTTATTTTAAAAAGAAACTAAGAATCAGGGCTGGGAAGGTGGCTCTGTGGCAGAGTGCTTGACTTGCATGCATGAGGCCCTGGGTTTGATTCCTCAGAACCACATAAGCAGAAAAAGCCAGAAATGGTGCTGTGACTCAAGTGGTAGAGCCCTAGCCTTGAGCTGAAGAGTTGAGGGCCAGCACCCAGGACCAGAGTTCAAGGCCCCATGACCAGCAAAAAGAAAAAGAAAGAAACTAAGAATCTTATTTTATTCATTATACATTGTAAAACATATACATGTGTTTACATATATATGTATATATACATGTGTGTAGTAAATTATTATATCTTAATACATAATAATTAAAGTTCAGTAATGAAAGAATTCAAATATATCAATAAACAGTAAAGTAGACACTCACAATTCAATCTCTGAAAAGCTGAATCTAAATGGTTAAATAATTTTTCCAGAGGTTGGAAGGCAAAAATATAGAAAATGCAAGTTAGATCTGTCATTCAGACTTGCATTCTGATGGCTTAGATAATAAGCAGGCAGGAGCTGGCTTGTGGACTAAATACTGGAAAGAAGATGGGCAACAGAAGGAACACTGCAAGAGTATCTGCTGTGCACCGCCTGCTCACTTTCCCACAGAAGAGGCCTCAGGCTCTGGGATCTTCCACACAGAAGTGATAAATCAGTTCTTTCCCTCTCACAGCCATTTGGGATGCACACTTGGAGGCATGGGGCTAACAACAAAAGAAGAAAGCTATCTATTTTAAATGCACTTATTTTTTAAAACACAGGGGAAAATAAATACTAAGAAAAATGCAGTTTAGAAATCGGAGAATTTTATAAAGAACTGCTTGACTTTTTAATCTTTTAAATTACATGTTACATAATATATGTTGATAGCATATAATATTTTAAAACATTTTAGCAGTTGCATGGGTGATAATCAATTTAATCAATAATCAGTAATATCAATTTTAGTTTATTTCCACTTTCTCTATTTTTGGTTTTAAGAAGTTAAAGATTAAAGATGTGAGCTGGTGGCTCACATCTATAATCCAAGCTACTCAAGAGACTGAGATCTGAGGATCACAGTTTGAAGCCAGCTTGGGCAGAAAAGTCCAGGAGAATGTATCTTATCTCCATCTAGCCATCAAAAAGCTAGACGTTGAGATGTGATTCGAGTGGTAGAGCACTGACCTTGAATCAAAAAAGGTAAGCAAGTACATAAGGACCTAAGTTCAAGCATCAGTACTAAATAGTACAACCACAGACACAGACACACATACACACACACACACACACACACACACACACACACAAAGATAATAAAGAGAATTGAATTATTGAATTATGATTATTCAGGTCCAGAGAGTAGAAATGTAGCCGATTTCTAATCTCCTTATTAGAATATTCTAAAGAAAGCCTGATTTTAGTCTCTTTTTGGTGTCATCAGACATAGTTTTGATATTCTTACTGTCAGAGCAACAGAGTAAATAAAATAAAATGATAATTATTTTCTGCATGACTCAGCAAGCCAAACTTTAATATGAATAATCAGAAGTTCACTTTGATTCATTTTTTAAAAGCAGAATTTGTATTTTACTTCCCAAAACCTCTGGTAATTTGCATCCGTGTTTGTCCTTTGCCTTCTGGAGGGCAGTACGTCACAAGGCTCTGGTGGGTATAACCTTTACTTAGCAAATGCTTCTTCGACCTTCTAACATCTTGCCTGTGGATCTTCAGCTCCTAGATCCTAACCAGAAGTACCAGGGTATGTGCCATCATGGGACCCAATGTGCATTGTAGATGCAGGCTTGGTGTTGCCCACTCCAGTACATTTTTCCATTGGTTTCCTTGATACTATATTGTAATCTTAGGAGCAAGCCTAAAGGAATTTATAAGTTTGCCTGAGAGTTTAAAACGAAGTCATTAACAAATCAAGCAATCATAATTACAAAAGCAGATCTCTGTCCCTAAGGCAACTCAAATTGAGTCCATAAACAGATTTGCTGCAATAGCTTCAAGAAAAGGTAGAGAATAAAACATAAAATTGTTATGTTTCCTTTTTGTTTTCATTCCTTGGGTTAGGCATCTTTTCTACTAGATAAATCCCATTTTCTAATTCAATATTGGTGCATTTAGTACAGTTTTAGTATTTTGCAAAGAGTTTAAAAGGTGAAAATCTAAGGTACCACTCTTTTAAAATGCTCCTGGGTTAGACTATCGAAAGTTCATTCCATTTACAAGAAATTAGATTCCTACCTATAAGTACTCCAGTGACCTAAGAGAGTCCACAAGCTGCTATTTATCCTCAAGAAGAAAATCTAAGATCAATGCTCTATCATGGAAGAGGCACACACTTCTTAATGTGGCATATAAGTCCCTAGGAGATGACTAGAAGCAAGCAGAGCCCTCAATTTCCTCTTCTTTGCTACATTCTAATCTATTTCTCCAAACATACCAAATCACTTACCATTTCCAGAAACCCATCTTTTCTTTTTCTTATCCTTTATATAAGCTCCTGTTTATGTGGTCACTTTCTTTTGCTCCTTTTCCAGCGTTCTCCAAAAATTCTTGGAGACCCTTTATGTGCAAGCACTATGTTCTAAGTGGGAGTTTCTCATTCATGTTGTAGCTGGAAATCACATGTTTAGAAAAGTGTCTATTGTATTCAGATGCCTGATAAATGAACAAAGGGACCTTCACATCCAAGTCCTGCAGAACAGCAACTCTAATCTCTGAGACTCACCTGCTTCCGCATCACATCTGTAGCCTGCATGATGTAGCGAGGAGGCAGCCCGTGGCTTCTGGCGAGGATGATGGCCTGCTCCAGAGTCACACTCAGGGTACACCTGCACAAAGTCAAGGGCAAGTCAGAACCCCAGGTGCAGAACACTCTCAGGACAACATGGGCTACTAACTTCAAAAGCAAAATCCAGTAAAAAATACAGTGTCTAGACCATGTACCAAAGATGTTTCTGCCTATAATACTTGGGTAACAAATAGGCTAGGGATGAAGGTTAGTGGTGTCTCCAATTAAAGATTTAAATGTCAAACAAACACAATGAGCATATGCACATACGTACAAACTGACTGACAAGTGGATAAAGAAAACATAGTGTGTACGTATGCACATATATACATACACACATATTGACATATTGTTTATTCATAAAGAATAAAAACTATGACATTTGGAGAAAAAAAATGGATGGAACCAGAGAGGTTATTGTGTTAAATAAAATCGGCCAGACCTGGACAAATGTCACACTTTCTTTTATATGCAGAAGCTAGATTTAAAAGAAAAACCTAGAAATGAATCTAGAGGACTCCTTGGAGGAGATGGTGAACTAGCAAGGGGAGGTGAGGTAAGAATAGAGAAAGAGAAGGTGATTGAAGTAGAATATGATCAGGTGCATTGTATACATTTACTAAAAAGGTCAGAATGAACCTCATTAAAAATCACAATGAAGACTAAAAGTAAATAGGAGAGGGGATAAAAAAAAGAGTAAGAGCATGAATAAGATTTAAGTATGGTATATGCAAGTATGGAAATGCCACAATGAATTTCTACCACATTTTGCAAATAATAACCTAATTAAATGCTAACAAAAATGTGGGCAAAAAGAGAGCTTCATCCCAGAAAATTAAACAGCCACATTTGTAATAAATTTCTATTAAATATTCCTTATTGAAGTTTATGTAACTTAGAGGGAAATACTTTAGAATATTTATTCATTTCTGGATACTGATAGCTAATTGATTTATAGTCATGCACATGCATGAAAAATAAATAGTGAAATTACTGTTCGCTAACATTACATTTGACTTTAAAAATGTTTCTTAGACCCAGTAGAAAAGTCTCTTTATAAACATTTCAAAAGTTCTTGCAATTAGTTACATTGAGTGTGGTCCCCTAAGGAGTTTATGACCTGGTTGGTAAGCAGAAACCAGGGACTTGTGTGAGCCTGAGTTCTTTCCCTTCCTTGCTTTCATATTTTTCCATATTTTTCTCCAAAGAAACCCTTAAAAACTGTTTTTAGTTTATATTGTTCAACTTTTAGTCTCCAATGTGGAGTTTTTTTAGAGGTGATTTTACACACACATTTTAAAAACAGATTAACTAGATATTTTCCCCTAAACTTTGTAGTACAGATTTTGTTTTACTTCATTTTAAGGTATTGATTTCATTTTATTAAACTAAATCATTTGATTATTTTTCTCTATTTTTGTACAAACCACCATGTACTTTGTTACCCTACCAAGATATTTTCTATTTATTTATTTTTATTTTATTTTTGTTGGTCCTTGGGCTTGAACTCAGGGCCTAGGCCCTGTCCCTGAACTTTTCTGCTCAAGGCTAGTGCTCTATCACTTTGAGCCACAGCTCCATTTCCAGTTTCCTGGTGATTAATTGGAGGTAAGAGTCTCACAGACTTTCCTGCCGAGGCTGGCTATGATCCTCGTATCTCAGTCTTCTGAGTAGCTAGGATTACACGCATGAGCCACCAAGTATTTTCAAGTTTGGTCCAATTTTCAAGTGTTTTGCCCATCAACAGTAATAAACAACAAATTACAATGCAGTTGCTACTATACCAAAGAAAAACTCACTCTTTTCCTATAGAACACTGTGACACTCATGTTCAGTATATATTTGGTAGACTTTGATACTGAAGAATTAAGAAAATCAAGAGAAAGGAATTTAAAACATCACTGATGTAATACTAGAAAGAACTGGACAATAATATGTAGCTATATTATTGCACAAAACTATATTCTAAAGGGAAGCCCATTAAATTCCATTGGCTGTTCAATAACTTGAGGAATAGCTTGTTCATTACCATAACAAATTATTTGATAAGTTTCTAGTAATACATCATGTTCACAGCTATTTTGAGTATGACTTGAATAACAATGCTCATTACTTTCCATGTGCACACATGGGGCTGAACAGTATGCACCAATGAAGGCCAAGCAGTACAACAGACAGTTCATGTTAAAAAATTAATTTTCTACGAAACACTTAATTGACTGCCTACTCAACACACCATAACCTTTTTCTCTTCTGCAAGGTCTCCTTTATTCCAAATTGAAATCTTTATGGTTCCTAACATGTTAATCAATAATGTTCATTATACCAGCTGAAGTCAACGAGCCTTATTATTATTTTTTCTAATCATGCTAAAATAGGCCTAGAATCTCCTGACAAGTCATACCTTGCTCTGCTCCACATGGAAGAGCACTCTGTGAAGGGTTTGGAACAGGCAGGCTATAATTTTCATTCATGCTGTTAATCATTTTAAATTGATTGATCCTCTTATTCTTCGAGTTGTAGCAAATGTAGTAAATAGCAGTAAGACAGCAAATCATCTGCCAGACTTTAAAAGATTTTACTGCAATATGGAAATCAATAGAGCCAGCAACAAGGAATGTCCAAGTATCATGTTATGAGAACCAATCATAGACAAATCTTTCAAAAAGGAGTGCCTATTTTCTTTCTCCAGCACATCCTTTTAAAAGATGGATACTCACCAATGTGTTGATTCCAATAAGGATATGTAATTGATGGGAAAACTTTTAGAAGCACATATTTTGTAAGAGGTAATCACAGGAATGTTGGAAATACTGTTTGTATTCCATTCAGGTTGTTGGAGCCCTCAGTGGCCTGTTTCCACTGGGGTATGCAGAGTTCCATGGTCTTAAATGAAGCATGTGAAAGAGCTTAGCAGTTAAGTTCATAACTCTGCTGTCAATACCATTAGCCGCCGCACAGCTTCTAATCTTTTCTCAACCATCCCCACTGAATAGAAAATTTAGTATAGGCAAGAAACATTTGGTTTTGGCATTCTCTAACAGCCTTCAAAGATTGGTTTATCAATGGTGCTTAAGTGAATACTCTGAGTTTGGTTTTGAAAGAGACCATCTAATTTTCCGGGTACTTTTGATGACCAGAGACACTGCTCTGTATGGTTGCATGGCTGACCACCTATTCTCCCTCCTAGAATGTCCTCTGTTTCACACTGGACAGTTATATTAGAATTCAAATAAATCTATATTTTTCCTATCATGGAAAATTGGGGAATTGGGGATTTTTTAGCTGCTTATAGCTGCTACATCATAATAAAAAAATTCAGACAACTCTTCCCCTAGGAGACACAAAAGAACAAAATAAATATCACCTTGTAATGTGTGTCCTTCACCAAAAGGCAAACATACAGAGAGGAGAAAGTTATCCCATAACTTCAGGAATAAGACATTCCAAATATGGATTCTACTCACACTTTCTAAGAAGTACCCTAGATGGTGTGGTAAAATTGTACAAAAATGGTTAATATTCCATAGAAAGTAAAGGAAAAGAGTATGTGCATATGATTCATATATCTTGTTGACATATTTCACTCAGGTATTTAGCATAAATTTAGTATGATAAATGTAGCTTATAACGAATGGGTCTAATTTAACTAGAACATATATGTGTGTGTGGTGTGTGTGCTGTGTACATGCACACACGTGTGTTTGTGTGCGTGTGTGTGTGTGTGTGTGTGTGTGTGTGTGGTACTAGTACTGGAGATTGAACTCAGGGCCTGGGTGCTGGTCTCTTAGCTTTTTTACTCAAGTCTGGGGATCTACCACTTGAGTGGCTTGTTGCTGGTTAACTGGAGATGAGTCTTATGGATTTTTCCTCCTGGGCTGGCTCTGAACCATAATTCTCACATCTCAACCATCTGAATAGAACCATTCATTTTTCTTTCTTTTCTCTTTCTTTTCCTTCCTTCCTTCTTTGCTTTTTTCCTGGCTTGCTTTTCTTGCTTGCTTTCTTGTTGCTTACTTTCCCTCCCCCTTCCTTTCCTCCCTCCCTTTCTCCCTCCCTCCCTCCTTCCTCCTGCCTTCCTTCCTTCCTGTGTACTTCTTTCCTCTCTCCCTCCCTCCCTCTCTTCTTGACAGATATTGTCTGAGTGTACCTGCAAATATTATTAGATGCTGGCAAAACTGGATATATTTGAAAGCTGAAAAACTTGAATTTCCAGCCCTCTTATTCATATGAATCTTGTTTTAAGGTTCCAGGAGGGACCCTGGTAGTGTATCTACACAATGACATGCATTCCTTTACAAATCTACCTAACTGAAATGTTTGAGTTGCAAACTTTACAGCTGCTGTCTTCTTCACACAAACCTTTGGGAGGGACAGTGGAAGTTATGGGTCATGTTCCAATAGCTACTGTTTATCTCTGGAAGTAAGCTAAAGGAAGTTGCACTGGGATATATTTGGGATAAGTTTAAAGGGCCCTATTTGTATGATTGATGGTTGCTGCCCCTTATGGTTAGGTTATGGCACTAGCCCAATAGATTTTAGAATATTTCTACTGCTCACTGTAGAAAGTCATCTTCTATTGAAAACGAGGTGACAGGTTGAGGTTGTGATGTGATATGCCACTGTCCTAAGGCTCCCAAGCTGGATGTAGTGAAGAGCACAGGTTGGAAATTTAAAGCCAGAAGCTATTCTGTGCAATAAACAGAATAGTTCCTATGCCTTTTGGCTAAAGTCAAGTGTAATATCTCAAAGAACATTTTTGTTGTTGTTGTTCGTTTGATAACAATTAGAAATTTACAAGATATTAGCAATAAAAATCTTTGGTGTTGAAAGGCTAAACTCTCAGTAATTTACATTTGATCAGCCACACTACAGAAAAGATAGAATACTCTTTCTATTCTCTTTACCAAAAAGTTATATATTAGAAGGCTGTTATTATTTGATGAGCCAGTCAATGGCAATTTTACTACAAATTATGAGAACAAAAGAGAAGTGGGACAGATAATAAAGTAGTTAAATATCATTTTCTATATTTTATAC